GGAGACTAGCGAGCCTTTGCTAGAGCATTATGCTAAAAAGGGTGTCCTTTGGGAGGTCCATGGCCTCAGCAGCGATGAGATTAGCCCCCAGCTGTTTGGGGAGTTTGAGAAACGGTTTCTATGAGGAGTTCACCGGCTACTACAGGTTTTCTCCTTGGTTAGGAGTGAGATCTAAAGTTGGGCGCATATGAGGAGTTATGTATATTACGGAGTGAACTACAGGATATTGGGAAATGTCAACGAGTGACCAAATACCCAACACACCAATCGGAAACTGGAGGAACGCCTAATGTAGTTAGTATATATTGATGATTATGTGGTTATTCGCACGGGCTTTGGTGTATCCCCGCGAAGAAGGAATACATTGTTTGGCGAATGGCTAAATGTTTCTGGGTTCGTCAAGTCACAATATTTGCGCAATAGTGACTATATTCAACATATTGCACATTTCCTGCACCCATCTCATAACGACTCTTATCTACCACATACTGAACTAAGTGTTATATTAGCCCAATCATTATTATTCCATGTATACGAAATCCCGCTTAGGAAGCTGTCATTGTGTAGCCTCTTTGTCTCATGCATGGGATTTCCCGACATCAAATTTTAAAAGATATCAGAGTACGTTATATAAGTATCAACCATTAAACTAGCCTCTGGCCTCATATGTCGTCCAAGTTGGCTAAGATTAGCGCGGCTTAGCCTCCCCGTCCCCCTCCGAGGGGCTGATCCGAAACGTAGGTACTGCAGGCGATCAAATGGGGCTACCAATAAGATCAACCCAAGCGCGCGGGGCATCCCACGCCTACGTATGTACATACATATGTAATGTAACCACGCTCATCCTCATCCTCATGCTTATCCTCATGTATTCTCATCCCATCTCAGCCATCTATCTACCTATTGTGTGAGTGACTAGCCTTGAGTGGCGACGCAAGCTGTATCTCGGTCCGAACCCGTGTGAACTTAAATCCCAGCACGTCTGTCTCTCTATACCGATTGGTTGCCTGCCTGCCCGTGTTAGAGTTTCTTTAAACGCAGGAACCTTTTTATTTTTCAGCTTGTGTAAGGTAACGGACAAGGGACAGTGTATATGAGAGCCTCTCACAGTGGATGACTGCCTATATCTACATAACCTAGATTTGCTTGTTCCATTTTACTCCATTACCTACATACCTTCCCTTCTACTTATCTACTTCTACAACATTAATGTCTACACGCACCCTCGCTTGCAACACTTGACCTCCATGTACATTTTACCCTTCGCTTCTCTTCTGCATTCTCCTTGCTCTTTGGTTATCACCGTATTTGGGCGATTCCAAAACTCCATCTATCCTCATCCTGATGTCTCGAGGTGAATTTGGACGTGTCGGCCTGCTCTTGCGGCAGTTCTTTGAATTACCCTCTACCTGAACAAACCACCCTCGCTATACGTCTCAACTCACCATTACATTGATTTCTCTTATCACATTCTATCGAATTGCCTTCGATCAAGAAGTCTCTCATTCATTTAAGTGACTATTTTCCCCCAAGAACCCTGTCCCCATCCCCTGTCTTTCACCGATATCGTTATTTCTATCGGTGAGATGGCTACCATCCTCAGGTTTGCCCGCGTCATATCCGCTTATACCTTTTTCGCATGGGCGACCACCGCATTCACCCTCCCTGAGAAATGTCCTATTTTCTTCCAGGCACAGAGGGTATGTGACCCGATCCCGCCAGCAAGCTTCCTACCTGCCTCCATGAATAGTGCCGCGAAACCCAGGCCGGCTCGCATCGCAGACAATAGTGTATTGACCGATCTCCTGAACGCCCTAAACATCACGCAATCAGAATATTTCGCTCCGTGGATCGGAACTTGGCCCGATGCTATCGACTGGACAGCTGCTGTGATAGGCACACATGTTTCAGGAGCAATACGCAGCATTTCCGAAGATCTGGTCTTCTTACAGTCAAAATGGGACAGTGCTGCTCAGTGGAGGCGGGCTTCTAACTTAATCGATAACTACTTCGCCCAGACCATTGCCTCCTACTTTGGCCAAGATGCTCTGGCTATTAGACTCGAAGCTTATGACGATATTCTCTGGGTGGTTTTGGGCTGGCTTGAAACCATCAAATTCATTGACACTCATAACGACTTGCATTACACTCTTACTAGTCCAGGCCTGTCCAAAGCAAGACCAGACGTCACTGATGAGATCTTTAACACTCACATAATGATCCCCAATCAGCCATACCACGGAAGAATATGGGTCCCTGCCTTCGCTCACAGGGCGCGCGTGTTTTGGGATCTCGCATCGCATGGATGGGATACAAGTCTCTGTAACGGAGGGATGGTCTGGAATCCCAGGCTACTACCATACAAGAACGCTATCACCAACGAGCTCTTCATCGCCGCATCAATATCAATGTACCTCTATTTTCCCGGCGACAACAACCGATCTCCTTTTTATAACCGCAGCGATAAATTCAACCCCGAGAGTCCGGACTCGGAAGTGTATAGCGGATCGCGGGACGCCAAGTACTTGAAGGCCGCCGTGGAAGGCTACCGCTGGCTCCGCAGTTCCAACATGACGAATGATCAGGGCTTGATCGTCGACGGCTTCCATATCAGCGGGTATCTTGACGAGAACAACAACAATACGCGTTGCGACGTTCGCGACGAAATGGTCTACTCGTACAACCAAGGCGTGATCCTAACGGGGCAACGCGGGCTATGGGACGCCACGGGCGCATCCTCGTTCCTTGCGGACGGACACCACCTCATCCAGAAGGTGATCAAGGCCACCGGCTATGACCTCGCAGCAGACCGCCCCATGGACAACCCCCTGCACGTCAAATCCGGTATCCTGCCTCGCTGGCACGGGCTAGGGCGTCTAGGCGTCATGGAGGAGCGCCTCGACGCCAGCGGCACGGGGAGCCAAGACCTGCAAACCTTCAAAGGGATATTCTTCCACCACCTCACAACCTTCTGCGCCCCCCTGGAACCACCCGGCCCAGAATCCGGCCTACGAGTCCACATCCGCGCCTTCACAGAGATCAAAGAGGCCCACGCCGATGCCTGCAGAGCATACAGCGGCTGGCTGGAACACAACGTGCACGCCGCGATGGGGACGCAGGACGCGTCGGGGCGCTTCGGGCAGTGGTGGACCGCGGGCCTGCTGATGGGCAACTGGGCCGGGACCTGGCCGACGTTGAACAACGACGGCATCGACAGCGATGAGGAAAACGCGACCGACTATCGAAATTACGGCGTGCCGACCGACACGACCTGGCGCAGCCCGGCGCCCACGAAAGCGCCGCACACGCGCTATTCGCCTTACGGCCAGGTCCCGCTGAAGCTGCCGCGGGAGGCCATCGTAGAGGACCCGAATAACCGCGGCCGCGGACGGACCGTCGAGACGCAGAGTGGTGGGCTCGGTCTGCTTAGAGCGTACTGGAAGATCGCTCGGGCGCCTTAGGATGGCATTCGGGGATTCGTGCGCGAGGGCTTGGGGTTATGTGTTTGGTTGGATATTGGGTTGGGTATTGTTTTCCTTGTGTTAGACGTACACGTAGAAGACGATATTAATACTGATTGTATTATGTTCTTGTCCGACTGGTTCACAATTCTTCATATTAAGAACCTCATAGAGTTGCATTACATTTGACTAGATTCACCTAGAGCTGTGAGCTGTTTTGGTAGACGTGGGCATCCACGACATCGCCTACATCCGTATATCTTTCTCCTTTGCGGTTGCCCTCGACATATTTTGATGGGCGAGTGCTTAAATCTACGGATGAAAATATGTTGGGACACAGGTTTAGTTTTTGTGCCCTGGATACACCCTTTTCTTCCTATAGCATATCATACACTCATACACATCCGTCCTTGTTCTAACATGATGCTAAAGTCAAGCCTCCATATTCAACTAAGGAGAACATTCATCCTTCACTGCTATGGATACGCATAAGTAGGCCTCAAAATCCAGGTAGTTCAGTGTAAAGACACCATCCACACCTTTGCACTTGGTGGCGGAATCCAGATGCAGTTTTAAAGTTTATTCAGTTTTAAGTATACTTACTAGGTCTGAGCAGAAAGGCAGCTATACTTATACTTTTCCCACACTATCATCGTGATCAAAACTCGGTACCTGTAACAATGGCTTGGGAAAATATTGGAATTGGACTGATATTCTACATATGGGGTCCATGGAGTACATTAACCCCTATTTGGTCAAGTGAAGATCTACAAGCTATTTATACTAGTATATAGAAGGTACTGTACTTGTGTCTGAATAGCCCCGCTTGATGTCCCTTTACTTACTCAAGGAAGTCTTTCGGGCCCGGCCTCGCTCTCGTATAAACCATCTCGGTGTATCTCGGTGTATCTCGGTATGCCATAGGATTGGTGGTGGGTAAAGACGAGCTGAAAACCAAAGCCTTCGTGCAGTGTATCTCGCACTTATATTCATGTTAGATAATATGGAAAAGGATCCATCTAGCCTCAAGTACATATACATACCTAAGATAACACGCGTGGGTAAATCCTGCCTTAAGGTTGATGGTATCGCCCATGCGCAACCTACATAGTCTACTTAGACCTAGGAGATGAACCTAATTAACAATCCTGAAAGAAGACACCGCCGCATTGTGTATGGGATTCTGACTACTTGCCCAGACGGCTATAACTTCCCATAAATAATTTATTTTACAGTATTTTTGTGAGGTCTACAGTACACTAACCTAGATGGATTGTCGCCATCGGATCGCATCCTATGATATTACATAAGCCACCATGCACCACTCCCTTATCATCTGCATCATCCACATACAGTAGTTCCAACTTTCTCCCAGGCATTCCCTGCTTGCTTCAAGTTGGTTATTGGCCACTTACATACTCGTACTGTACCCAGTTCTATGCATATGTAAGTAATGCAAGAAATTAATGCAAGAAATATAACGCAAGACTAAGCCAAGGCACAACATCATCCAACCCCAGCAGCCACAAGAGTGGAGTTGGCCTCGTGGCCCAATGGCAAGGCGTCTGACTACGATAAGAGACTCCAGACCGTTTACTGGTTTGACAGTTCTTCGCGATAATCAGGAGATTCTGGGTTCGACCCCCAGCGAGGTCATCACTTGACATAGATCACAAGATCTTCTTTTCTTTTTGCCAATCTTGTTTTATAGCTTTTTTGTCCTTTTCTTCTGGATACTTACCCAACTATTTTCCCTCACTGCATACACAGTACGTAATTAACTACTTAAGTTAAGCACTGGAACTCTAGATGAACGGCCTGATTCGGCCCGCCAGTGCCAAGAGAGCGAGCAGAACATCAACAGAAGATGGTGAAGGCGGAATTATTTAGATAGTGCGAGTGATAGATCTGACAAACGGCATGGGCACAAACATTACCTACCAACTGCCACTATTCATGTGCGAATTAAGTATAATCGTTGATGCGGCTGCTGCATATGTGGTAAATACCTAGGTATTCATTCCGGTTCCTATTCTCCTCGTAACTATCTTGAAGTAGGAAGCAGGCGCTGACTGGATATCCTTATTCGCATAGTTGTTCAGAAATGTCCTAGAAGCACCACCAACTAAAGAAACTTGTGCATCGTGTATGACTGATAAATCTTTGGCCTTGCTTCGCACTGCGAACTATGATACAGTATTGCGTCCTATCGTTCGCATATGTCCCCTCCCGTACTCTTGACTCCAGTGCGCCTCCCCCAGCCCAAACAATTGGAAAAATAGATATCGGCCACATTGCGGATGTAATCAAGCATGGAATTGTTTGTCGAAGGACCTTGTGGTAGCTTGGGAAGGTTGGGTTGTCAAAACCCTAGAATAATACATCGCATCCCCTTACACTGGGGGTATTCGAAACTTTCAGTTGTTTCGCCACTCATTCTCGTTGTTCACACCAGGAGGCACATTCTTATTCGGGGTTGAGTTTGATCCCGATGGGGTGCCGTCATCCTCGTCGTCATCGTCATCATCATCAAGAGCTCGTGCCAGCTCATCAGGATCCTTCATCTTAGCATCCGGGTCGACGACTCCAGAGATCTCATCATCTAGGTCGCTCTGACGCTCATGCTCAAATGTCGTGTCGTCGGCACTAATTGAGATACCCCGGGCACCCCACTTAGATCTCCGTTGAGATGAGGCATTGCCGTCATCGTTGCCATTTAGAGCTGGGGCGCTTTCCTCATCATCTTGGTCATTTTCGAAATGCTTGTTACCAAAGATGCGGTTGAGAAGCCAGCCCCGTCGGATATCATCAGCGTCGACGATGCCACCGTACCGGAGCTTCACTCGTTGCCGTGTGTAGTACACCCAGAAGAAATCGAAATAGAGGGCGGTCTGGATGATGCCAAAGATGACGGACACGGCATTGGGTTTCCGGTCGTTGGGGTCCAACTCCCTCCAGATCCAGTTGAGGCAGTAAAGAGCACGGTATGACCCTAGGGAAATGAGGTAGAAAGAGTCGATGACGGTCGGGACGTTCGTTTGTCGGAGGAGAAGGAGCTGGGGCAAGACACAGATTGATTCGAGAATTTGCGAGAAATCCCAGACCCACTGTGAACGGAAATTAGTGGTAAGTCAGAGAAATGTAGATAAGAGGGAGGACGAACCGTGAAGAAAGACCATTGCCTCTTGCCCTCGAAGATGAGCATTACGAACGGGGCGAGTAGTAGAGAGCCGGCGAGAATACCGGCTCCCAATTTCCAGGCAATCTCCTTCTCCCTCGTCCGTGGAAAAATCCAGCGCATGATGGCGATGATGTAGATGGAGGAGAGTATGTAGAACAGCTTAAAGAACAAGTTCCATCTCGACGTCTCGGTGAAGATGTCGGTATATCTCGAGCAGAACACGACGGCATATAGGACCTGTGTGATCCATGAGACGCCTAGTCATATCGTTAGTTCATGCGATGCGCTCGGGGCTGGTTGTTGTCGTCGAAGCATAGGTACCTTCAGCGCTGCGGTTGCGGTGGATGGCATATGTCAGGATGACTTTCGAGAGGAGATGGGACACATCTCCCAAGATGCGAAAGATCTATCACTTCAGTCAGCGCAAAGGGCGCACAGAGAGAGTCGCATGCGATGGGCTATACACACGTTCCAGCCCATCTTTTCGAGATGTTACAAGCTATGTAGGGCAGCTACCGCGATTCAAATCTGTTCAATGTGGCCGGTATGGAGGAGAGCGGACGAAGTAGATTAGGTTCCCATATCAAGAATGACGCGACAAGCTTACTTCAACATGTGGAGGATGTTGGCAGCTGTTACAGGCGATATACCGTAGTATTTGGCTGCCTGTTGGGTGTGGTTCTGGATACCTGATGTGACTGGGGGGTTTCTCAGGTCTCAGGTCAAAGGTCTGAGGTCATAAGAGCTGAGCGGGAAGCTCCATACTGGATTACGTGGATAGGTTCGTAGACATGCGCAAGGGGGTCAACCCAGCCGCCTTTATTTGGCAGGTTCGATGTGGAGTTCTCCGCCTGGAAGCAGTAGCCTGCATTGATAGCAGCCTAACTCAGACTGGACTAGCCGATTTGAAGGCTACAGCTTGGTCTTAAGAGAAGTGTGGCTGAGCTGTTGGAAATTGGCTTGAGCATGTTAGCATCAGCCACAGCTATAGTGGGATGGGCTTGGCGCGTATCGACAACGCGTCTCGAAAGGGAATACCTACATCGAGACGGTACAGCAACTACGTCAGTTCGCCGAGAGTGAGCAGCGACAGACATATTGGTTCTGTTTAATATCAAGCCATGGTTCTATGCTATAGACATCGGGACAGACTACTTTCATCCCAGCCATGGCTACTAGTAAGTTTGGAATCTATACCGCACCTCACCGCACCGCACCGTATTGATGGTTCTCACCAACTAACCCGCCGTGACCAGGCCGAGAGGAGCGCATGCAGCAGCGCATGCGAGGGGCTGGGTACGGTTCCTCGTCCCTTTCCAACGTCTCTACTCCTATTCTAACGCATATCATGTGATAGACGTCATGAGGTGGCCGACGACTCGTTCGGCTTCGTGCTGCCCGGTGCCGCAACCTCTCCCGATCCATCTCCGTCCCTGCCTCCAATGCGATCGGAGCCTAACACATCCGCGAAGCGAAGGCGCCTGAATAACGAGCCTGGATCGTCAACCTCACAGCCGTCGAGTGCATCTGTTGCGACAAGGTCTTCAGCGCGACTCAGCAGCGGCCAGAAACCCACCCCGATCAATATGGCACAGCAAGACGTGGTGATGAGGAGTGGCTCGCCCCGATCAGACTCTCCACCTACAACTACAAGACGGATTGCAGCCCGCTTGAACATACTAAATTTAAGCCCGGGTGGTACTCCCCGGGATCATGCCAACGATGATACTCCTCGCGGCTTGCCAGCTGCTGAAGCGACAGTGGGAGACCCGATGGATCTGGAGGATGAACAGTCCCTACAGGAACCCACACCACGGCCGACTTCGCAGGGGTCACGAGGATCTGCAGCATCGAAACTGTCCGACGTGTCCATGATGGACTTCGAGGAAGAGGTTACAGAAAGCCCAGTTGCAGCGCCTGGGAGCGGCCGTCGCCGTCGGATCGCACAGGTAGATGCCATGACTCAGAGCACGAAACTACAAAGGGTAGTCATGGCAGAAGAGGAAGCTGGGGCAACTGGCGAATTCGCAACATCTTCGCCATTGGCACGGAAAACCAGGCGGAACATGATGGCGGGCGCCCTGTCCGCAAGGACGAGAGCAAGCACAAGGAAAATGCCGTCGTCTCCAATCGATGCGCTTCAGGGATCGTCACCGCTCACACACCATTCCCGCAATAGTGATAGCACGGCAGCGACGGGGTCGGTGCGGTCGGTACGGTCTACGCGTAGTCAAAATCACGAAAACACTCCTACCACCCTCATCCACGATGCAAACGAACTTTCTTCACCTCCAGATGCTGCAGGTACTAGTAGTCCCAAGAAGCCTCAGCTGAGGAAGAAATCGAGAATCATTCATGAATCTCCTTACGAAATTGGCGAGAGCGAGGAAGAAAATGAACCAGCCGAGGAAACTGTTGAGTCAGTGCCTGAACCGGAGGTTGAACCGGCAGAGGTTGAGCCGGAGGTCGAGCCGGAGGTCGAGCCGGAGGTTGAGCCGGAGGTTGAGCCGGAGGTTGAGCCGGAGGTTGAAGTAGAGGTACAGGCGGGATTGGAGGCCGAGGGCGCTGAAGCTGATGATGAGGAAGCTGAGGAAGTTGATGATCGTGAAGCCGCCCGCCGAATTGGTCGTAAACGGCCTCGAGTCAGCCCTCGGCGAAAACAGCCGCCCGATGATGCAGATGATGTAGACTCGCCGACAACCTCAATCGAACCATCCACCAAGCAAAGGCGTCCAAGACAGAAAAAAGGGAGCCCAGTTAAACAAGCACAACCCAAAATCGCCAAAGAGAAGAAGAAAAAGAAGCCCTCCGCAACACAAAAAGGTGATGGCGAATCTATTCCCGTCACAGTTCAGAGATATACGAAGCCGCTACGGCGCAGCGAAAATGATACAGACGAGGATATTCTCAATGCTGATATACCTTTCGCCGACCATAAGTCTCCGAACATCATCGACGCCCTACTACAGATATGTGAGGAGTCCTTGGATAAGTATCTTTCCGCATTACACCAAGAAGCGAGCCAGGCAGACGGGTCAGCGAACAGAAAGGTATACAGGACCAAACTGCGAGCTGTAGAAGCATTTCAGGAGGAATTACGCACACAGTTACAGGCACAAGTGAGCATGACTCAATCTCAAGCTACGGTTAATGGACTGACGAATCTAGACCATCGCTCTCGATAACCTGCGCACGCTTAAAAAACGAGTGCGGGCAGCACAGAAGGAGAAGGTTTCCCTCCGCAATGAAATACTGAGAATCCGTGCCGAAAGGGAGCAAGTGGCGCTCAAAATCGATGCTGTCAGAATGCGACATGAGACAGCAAATAAAGAGTCGCTGGTAAGTGTTCATTACTTAGAGGGATTAAAATGTTAGACTAACATAATTAGCACCAAATGGATCTATCCGCCACTATGGATGACATCGAATTGGTCATCGAAAATGGCAAAATGGCGCCAGAACTAAACCCCAAGGA